TGAACAAGATCTTAAACTTCATGATGCACATCCGTGGGTAAAGGAGGGCATTATAGAGGAGGAAAGCAGCTAAGACAGAGATGGAGAGGATGCCCTTTGAAGGAAATGATAGACATGGGGCCAGGTTTGCACAGAAGCTGTAGTGAAAATGTAGAGAATTGAGATCAAATATCCAAAGTGAGAAAAGATGGTGGGAACTTTAAATTGTAAATCTGGAAGAGATAAGACACAACTTCCAGACAACAATATAGTCCTTCTTGAAAGAGACAGTGTGTGTGTGTGAGGTGGGGTGGGGGAAGTGACCTCTGCTTTCAGTAAAGATGACTGTATATCCCTGAAATAATCTGAGCAATAATAGTAACATTCACAGTACTAGTTACTAACCATGTGCCAGGCTTTCTCCCAATATACCATCCCCTCCTACCAAACCCATTGCAATAATCTCTAACCTGCTCTCCCACTTCTTTTACTCCCCCACCCCTTCTCTCCTCCACATTGTTCTTTCTGAAGTAAAGCAGATAGATCACTCTCCTGCTCAAAGTCTTCCCCAGGGTTTTTCTTAGAAGAAAATCACTAGTCGTCGTTGTTGTTGTTGTTATGAGTCAGACCTGACTCATAGCGACCCCTCCTTGGGTTTCCAAGGTAGTGTCACTGTGGAAGTAGATTGTCCAAACTTCCTGCTGAGGAGTGGCTGGTGGGTTTGAACCACCAGCCTTCTGGTTAGCAGTCAAGTGCCTAATGCACTAAGCCACCACCAATATGGCTACAATTTAAAAGTCTGCCAAACCCAAATGTTGGTGAGAATACGTAGTCACCAGAACACACATATAATGTAATGGGAGTTTAGATAGTAATGCTCGGAAGTAATATCTACTAATGTTGACCATTCTCTTACTTTATGACTCAGCAACAATTCTCTAGTAAATGCCCCATCCATAATATGTCTACCAAGAGACACATATAACAATGTTGCACAAAGCGGCTATTTTTGTAATAGCCTCAACCTGGAAATAACCCAAATAACAAAACTAAAGTAAAGGAACCTTTGCTATAAACAAAAACATATATAAATCTCACAAACATAAGGATGAATCGAAGAAGCCAGATACAAAATTCATTTGATAAACATACTTTACATTTCTACTAAGCTTACTACAATCAGTCAAAATAATTAACAGTGTTAGGAGTCAGGGTAGTGTTTAATCTAGGGAAGAAATAAGTTAAATGGTTCCATGTGGTGCTTCGGAAGTGTTAGCAATGCTTTATTTCTTGACTTGGGATGTATTTTATTTCTTGAAGCGGATGTGTTCACTTCATGATAATTCATCAAGCTATAACATGATTTGTGCATATATTGTACTTCAACTAAAAAATTAGAAAAGCAGTACTAATTAGCACAAATTAACTTATCAGTAGAATGAAAGGTTATTTAATGGTATGCTTCAATTCTAAAATTTTCTTGGTTTGGTAATGAATTCTTAAAATTGTCATTATTTTCATTTATTTAATCATATTTATTACCTGCTAGGTGCAAACCAAGAAACTCTAGTGGCACTGTGGTTAAAGCTTTGGCTGCTAACCAAAAGGTTAGCATTTCAAACCCATCAGCCCCTCTGTGGGAGAAAGATAAGGCAGTTTGCTTCTGCAAAGATTTAGTCTTAGAAACCCTATGGGGGCAGTTCTGCTCTGTCCAATAGGACCACTATAGTTCAGATTCGACTCCGTGGCTGTGGATTTGGGTTTTGGAGGTACATATATGCTGGAATCACCTGTGGTTCTGTCTTGGTTCTCTAGTGCTGCTATCATAGACAGACCAAAGGAGGATGATTTCAACAAACAGAAATTTATTTTCTTACAGTTTAAGAGGCTGGAAGTCCAAATTCAAAGTGTTGGCTCTAGGGGCTGGGTGAAGGTCCCTCGACCTTGGGCTCCAACCCTGCCTCTTATTCTAGGCCCACTGGAGCTGGAGGATTCTGGTAACTCAGGCAGCTGCTGGCTGTTCAGGCTGATGAACCCAAGGTCAGCAAGTAGGATGGCACAATCCCAAGGTCAACAGGCACATGGCAGACACCTGGTTCAAGTCCAGAGCAATTCCAAGATCGGCAGGTAACATGGCAGCCCACTGGTGACTTGGCCAAATGCAGATGCAGATGTGCCCAAAAGCCAGCAGCCTTTCTCAAAACTCCTTACATACTAGAAGCAGGCAACACCCTGAAGGCAGCTATTTAGCTGCTCACAGCAGATTGCACCATGGAAGTGATTACAGTCTCATCATAGGGAATAACTACATCTGGCTACCCAGCCACTCAAAACCACCACCCAGCCAAGTTAACACGCAACCTTAACTATCACAGGTACTAAGACTAGGTACAAATTCAGTGTGGAAGTGATGATAGTTTTTGCTGTGAATTAAACATAGAGACCAGATGCTGGTGTTCAGGGAGCTTACCTAGCTTACCTTTTCTATGATATAGTTATGTATTTATTTTAAGAAAAATATTTATTGAGCACCCACAGTATGCAAAGTGGGAAAACATTGCATCCTCTAAAAAATGAACTTGTTTTTATTTACACAGTAGATCTCTTCCCGAACATTTCTCATCCAAGTCATTTTTCACCAGGAACATAGATGTCTAACTAGAAAACAGGATGGGTCTTCTTTAACAGACCCTCCCCACACAGAATATCTTTTCCCCATTGCATGTAACATTTGTGTATTAAAAGCTAAAACTCTTGAATAATATAAAACTCTATTTTTTTTTTATTTAGTTAGTTATTTTATTTCATCAGTACAGGTTTGCAATATAAATAAACACATTGATTTACTTTATATGAAAATTGAGCTCTGGTGGCATAGTGGATAAGGTATTTGGCTGCTAACCAGAAGGTGAGTGGTTCAAAGCCACCAACCACTCAGCAGAAGACAGATTGTTGTTGTTGTTGTTGTTATGTGCCGTCGAGTCAAACCTGACTCATAGCGACCCCTCCTTGGGTTTCCGAGGCAGTATCACTACGGAAGTAGGATTGCCCAACCTTCCTTCCGAGGAGTGGCTGGTGGGTTTGAACCTCCAGCCGTCTGGTTAGCAGGCAAGTGTCTTAGCCACTATGCTACCAGAGCTCCCAGAAGGCAGATGGGACACTCTAATTTCTAAATAAAGATTTACAGCCTCAGAAATCCAACGGGGATCACTATGAGTCGGAACCAACTCAATGGCAGTGAATTTGGTTTTGGTTTTTTTTGGTCACAAAAAATAGTAAACTCCACATTAAATGTTCAGGTCTAATAAGAGACATTGTTAAGTCTAAATGGAGAGTTTTGACATTATAGTGATAGATGAGCTGGTCATTCAGAAAATCTTGCTTTAGAAGTGGTTATTTAGGCAGGGGTTATTATTAATGTAGTGACAGTGATATTGGCCATAGAAACACCAATAGTACAGTAGATACAGGTTCAGGTGTAGAAGTGATAATATTTCGAGCTAGGGATTAATTTTCAGTCATCATTAAATACAAGGGGGCCCTGGTCACACAGTGGTAAAAGCACTCAGCTGCTAACAAAAAGGTTGATGTTTCAAACCTATCAGCCACTTCACGGGAGAAAGATATTGCAGTCTGCTTCCATTAAGACTTACGGCCTTGGAAATACTATGAGGCTGTTCTACTCTGTCCGATAGGGTTGTTATGAGTCAGAATCAACTCAGCAGCAGTATATTTGGTTTTTTGGTTTCAAATACACTTGTAATGGAACAAGGAAGTCTGGTGGTGGAGTACTTAAGGCATTTGGCTATTAACCAAAAAAAAGGTCAGTGGTTCGACCCCACCAGCTATTCCATGGAAGAAAGATGAGGCAGTCTGCTTCCATGTAGATTTATAGCCTTGGAAACCCAGTGAGGGTCGCTATGAGTTGGAATCAACTCAATGGCAGTGAGTTTGGAAAAGGTAATTACAAAGATGGAATTTCTGTCAAATAGAAATAATGGTGTGGTGATTGTAGATTTACAAAAAGCAGTGTTAGATTTTAGTTCAGATGAAAAGATAATGATTTGCTTAAAACAGCATTTCGATAAAGTAATGGCAAAAGACTCAGGTAAATAGGATCCAAAAAGCTTAGTGATGTTTTGTCCGTTATAGTGGTGCATGTGATTAAGAAATGGTGAGTAGGAACGATGATGCAATAGAAATGGCGGTATGACTATGGGATTGATTGGTGTGATGGTTTCCGTTATGAAACTTCAGTACAAGTTATGGTAGTTGCACAGTTAGTTGACGTGATAGTGCACTTATCTGAAAGGCCAGTTGTATTGTGATTGGTAGTAGATTAAATACAAGTATGGTTAAATTTTTTAATTATAATGATGCTAGTTGAGAAGATTAAATTTAGCTGAAGTAGTTATGATGTTGCATGGAAAGTCAGTTGTGTTGGCATTATATGTGTTGATTTCATTTTTAGTTGAAGTGTTGGCAGGTGAGGTTAAAGATAATATTTTAGAACAGACTCAATTCAGTAAAGAGGTGGAGCTAGAGGGTGGTGTAAATTCAGCTGAAGAACCAAGAGTGGTATCTGTAGATTCTGTCAAAATGATGAAATTATAGGTACATGGGAAATGGGAATATTTGATGTGAGAATTCAAGTTGTTGGGTGACTAATACAGTTACAGACAAAACTGATATAAGAATACTGGCTATTGTGGAAAAAGAATAAATTTAATTACTGTTGATTCTTGTGATAATAGGTTCAATGGAAGTTATGCTGATCACAGACTCAGTTCATGTGAACCTGAAGGTCATGGCTGTGGTCTCAGTAGAAATAGAATTGTAGTTATGGTACTACATTCAGTTGAAAAGACAAGACTATAAATTATGGTGCTTCCTTAGATTACAGGGTGGTGTATGCAGGTGTGCTGACAAGTTCCATTAAAGTATTAACAGTGTAATATGTTCAGTTATGCAGCAGTTGCTGCTGTAGCAATAGTACCTTCTGCTACAGTAGCAGTTTCTGTTTAAGAAGTGATGGCTGCTGGTATGGTTGTAGTTTCACTTGCAATAGTAGAGGCTGTGGCTGTGGTTGTAGTTTCCATGACAGTAGTGGTGGGTGCTGCTGTGGTTGTAGTTTCCATGGCAGTAGTGGTAGGTGCTGCTGTGGTTGTAGGTTCAGGAGCAGTAGTGGTGGCTTCTGTGGTTGTAGTTTCAGTAGCTGTTGTGGTGGGTGCAGCGGTAGTTGTAGTTGCAGTTGTAGTAGTGATGGCAGAAGTGATTGTTGTTTCAGTTGTAATAGTGGTGCCTGCTGTGGTTGTACTTTCAGTGGCAGCAGTGGTGTCTGCTGTGGTTGTAGTTTCAGTTGCAATAGTGGTGGCTGCTGTGGTTGTACTTTCAGTAGTAGTCGTGGTGGATGCTGCTGTGGTTGTAGTTTCAGTACCTGTAGTGGTAGGTGCTGTTGTGGTTGCAGTATCAGTTGCAGTAGTGGTGGCTGCTATGGTTGTAGTTTCAGTAGTAGTAGTAGTGCTGGCTGCTGTGGTTGTAGTTTCAGTTGCAGTAGTGGTGGATGCTGTGACTATAGTTTCCATGGCAGTAGTGGTAGGCGCTGCTGTGGTTGTAGTTTCAGTAGCTGTAGTGGTGGCTGCTGTGGTTGTAATTTAAGTTGCAGTAGCGGTAGGTGCTGCTGTGGTTGTAGTTTCAGTAGCTGTAGTGGTGGGTGCTGCTGTGGTTGTAGTTTCAGTAG